TTTTGTTTGAATATTGTATAACCACTATAATATGCTCCCAGAACAGGAGCTTTGCTAAATAGGGTGTTTCAAAATTGAAGGAGAAACAATTGGGGGTTAGTCACTCCCTTCTCAGCAGCTAGCTAGCTAGCTAGCTCACATTGGAAGATATTAATCTAACTTGTATTTCATCTTAAAACATTTTTTAGCTTCTGGATATGCTTTAAAAAAAGGACTAAAAAATAGCTATATTAATTTAGATATAATTTTCATGTTCTTGAAACTTTCCTGTTAGCAGTTATTTTGCTATTTTGCCATTTGATTCCCTGATATTGTTCTCATTCTAACTGCTTATTCTAAAGCCTGTAGTTATAATTCATTTATGTTTTATTTGATTAATATTTCATTTCTTGAGATATAACTAAGTCATATTTGAAGGAAATGAATTATCAACTTATGACTTAATCATGCTAACTTTAAATATGCGTTTTAAATCATAAAGCTTTCCTCTGCTTCCCATTTTAACTCCCCCGTAGCTTCTACCACTTTATGCCTTTCATTAGATCTAAACGTGAGTAATAATTCATTCAACAAACATTTACTGAGCTCTCAATATATGCTAGACAGTCTAGTATAATGAAAAGAACATGAGCTTTGCATTCAGACCCGGATTGAGCTTTGGATCTGCTTTGTCCGCTTGGGCCAGTTCTTCAACTTCTTTGAGTCTAACCTTTCATAGTGCCTGGCATGTGGCAGGCGCTCAGTGAGTGCTATAGTATAATCCATTCCTTTCTCCCAGCCTAGTGATATCCCAGCCCTCTGAGAGTATACATTTTTCTTGTAGAAATAGACATCTAACAGATAATTATAACACCTGGTGATAAGTGTTATAGTCAGAGGTATGAGCAGTGGTATTGGGAGCCCAGAAGGAGCCACTAGTGCTTCTTGGGGAAATCAAGGAAGATACACAAAGGAGATGTACAGAATGTTCATTATCTCCCCGAGGGCAGGGAGTGTAACTTTTGTATTCGTACAGTGCTTTGCGCATAGAAAGGGCTCAAGAAATGTTTATGGAATTATGTAAGTCATTTAACTTTTATATTTTTAGTGTGTGACTTTCTCGGAGAGAAGATTGCATCTGTTTTGGGCATCAGCACCCCAAAATACCAGTATGCCATTGATGAGTATTACCGGATGAAGAAGGAGGTGTGTCTCCTTTTTACATTTTCTTGATTCAGTTTGGTTTGCTGTGGACTTCATGGGTTGCATAATGAAGACATGTATCCTCTAGCTGCCCCAAAGATAGCTCCCTTATACTAGGCATTTCATTCTTGAGTCATTAATTTCTTTATCAAATTAGCATACATTTTAGAATTTTTTAATACTGAAATTCCCCTACAATCTATGTGCACAATTAAGCTAGATTTCATGTGCTAGTTGCTGTGAGAGGTGCCTTAGATATGTTATTTAATTTAATCTTCACACACCTCTCTTTGAATTATTATTCCAAATTTTAGATGAGGAAACAAGACCTGGTCTCTGTACTTAGGACACATACACTGGATGTGGGAGAAGTGGAATGGGTTTGATGCACGGGAAATGACCAATACTAGAAATGTGTAAGTGCCAGTTGTTAAGGCACAAAGATATGAGGCAATTTTGTGCGCAGATGTCGTGAGGTCTTAGGGTGAGGGTGAAATGAGTTTACCTTTAAAGAGTGAGAAAGCTTTAGCATTTAAGAGTGTGGGCTCGAGAACCAAGTGCTCTGCCACTTCTAACTTTGTAACCTTGGGCAAGACACTTAACCTATATAAGCTGCAGTTTCTTTGTCTTTGTAATGAGGAAAATTGCAGCATCCATGCTCAGGGTTGCTCTAAGGATTAAATGAGTTAATAAGTAAAATGCTTAGGGCAGCACAGGGTGTATATTGGTGAGCTTGAAATAAATATTAGAATCTTTCATTACTCCTTCAAGCAAACAAGGAGTGCAATTTGGGTGAAGCTACAATGTAGAGGCATGAATCTAGAAAGCTCAGCTCAGCTGACTGTATTTGTTACGTGGTTTCAAAAATGTTTTACGAACAAATGAGTGTTTTTAACTCTACTAGCCTTGTTTAGAGCCTCATTACCTCATCTGGACTATTGTGATAGTCTCCTAAATGGTCTTTCTCCTTCACTCTCAGAAAATCTCTAGATTAATCATCCTGACAGGTTACTCACTCTGTACTGACTCACCATACTACAGGGACCAATGCAAATGCCACCATTTCCTCCATCAGTTTAGCAGTTCTGGAACTAGAAGTTATTTACTCTCTAAATCTCTATAGTGGTTATTCCTTTCTGTTTTAATACTCTTCTTAAATGTCTTAACTTCATTCCTAGATTGTAAACTTCTTGAGGGCAGGGACTGCCTTATCTGTCTACTAGGTGCTTATGGGAACAGTAACCATGCTATATCACTTAAGTGAATAGACCACCCTATTCCACTGAATAGGCTGACACCCTGTAACTGTAGTGATACAGTATTAGTTAATGTTTTATTTAGATTAGAATTAACCTGAAGAGATCCAGCCCATGTCAAAGTTAATTCAGGTCTCATCTAAGCAGTGCTATACTGTGTTTTAAAAATAGCTTCACTACATATACTTCATACAATAGTTTTCATTTCAATTTGGAAACAGGGGAAGGGGAAGTATGTCTTGTCTTAATTGGATGAAACTGAATTGGACATGACACTAATGTTTTGGTTAAAAAAAAGGCATAAGCAGCTGAAAGTGGGAGAAAAATACTATTCCTTTTGGACATTTATATTTCAACTATTCTTGATATTTCCTCCTTTTAGGAGGAAGAAGAAGAAGAAGAAAACAGGATGTCTGAAGAAGCAGAAAGACAATACCAGCAAAATAAGCTGCAGGCTGATTCCATTGTTCAGTCAGATCAACCAGAAACACTTGTATCCAGTTCATTTGTGAATCTCAATTTTGAAATGGAGGGAGACTGTGAAGTAATTATGGAGAGCAAACAAAATCCAGTCTCTGTCCCTCCATAGAATGAAATGACCATCAAACTTCTAAGGTAGTTTTTATACCAGGAACTTTCACACTCTCTGTTCAGTGGGACTTAATAGTTATTTATATTTTAAATTATTAAGTTATCTGGAAAGGGAAGAATGTTTCTTTATTCTTAGGCTCTATCTAGCAAAAGCCAGATCTGAAATTTGGATATTTGTACTATGCTTTTACTGTCAGATTAGTGCTTTGGTTTTAAAATGATCTTTTAAAAAAAGTTAAGGACATTCTAGAACCCTAACCACCAATTAAGAAGACTTAAATTATCAAGCTTGTCTGTTATTTGTGTAAGAAAAAAAAATAGGTAGGTTGCTGAATAAGGCTAACTGGAGCTGATATTCATAGTCTCAGACTAAAATGAGGATTTTTCTCCTAGATCTTCTCATGTTATGTCTTTCTTACATTTATATATCTAACCATTCATTTCATACTAAGGATGGTTCACTGAATGTGTAATAAAAGGAGCAAGATGAAAGCATTTTGAATTTTCTTTCCTTGAGAATTAACTTTATTTCATGGGAAGGTGATTGAGTTTATAACGCTACCAAATCTTAAGATGGGTTTCCATTTTTTAATGAAGGTTAATCTTAATGTATTTGTATTCAAATGGTAATACCTAGTGATTACCCACATGGCATCCTGTTTATGTCACTCTTTCAGCCCTGAATGCCTCCTATGGGTCAAGACTGGGGGACAGATGAAGACTTAACCCTCCAGGGCTCACTGTTAAATATTGTACAATGTGCGATGGTAGCATAATGAAGTTACCTGTCATTCACCACTTCGAAGCAACAACAGTGGATGGTTCGCTTGACCCAGTTGGCCATCTCTGTACCCACTGTGCCATTAGCAGACCTTACAAAAGTATAATATGAAACTAATTTTGAAAATACTTCTATATGTGTTCAGGATCTTATATCTGTATGACTTAGATTTATAACTAAATGTGGATAAGGAGAAATATGTAGAGTATTTCAGATATGCTGCTCTTAAAAACCTATTCACAAACTTAAAGAGTTTTTAGGATTATGGTTGTTAATAGCCTTCTAAATAGCATTAAGCTTTCAATCTTAACTATATCTATATAGCTTCAAAGAAACAACATAGCTACAGTGGGCTTATTATGGAAGTCTGTTAGCAAGGAACATGAACATCTGCCCACTAAGTTCTTCAACTGAAATTTGAAGAATTTAGGAAAGATAATTCTTCATTAGGAATCCTCAGTTACATGGATTCATGGTATGGTGGTTCATGGCATATGATGGTGATCTTTTTGGTCATGGGTATAAACTATATAATTTAGTGCTTAAAGGATTGTCAGATTATGTAATATCATAAATTATAGTTTACTAGTAGCTCTAAACAATGCTAATCTGATGTGTTCCCTATAATTTTTATCTTCATTTGAGAAGATATTCAAGCTCAAATATTTATTTGGTTATCCTGTAAAGGCAAGCATATCTAAAGGCGATCTGAATCTTCTCTCCCTAGAGGCACTAGATCTAAGAGTTGACTCAGAAACTTTTCTGATTGTAGTAGAAGGAAGATAATGATTAATGAAGGTTTAACATTTCTTGAATTTTACTTTTTCTACTTGTCCAACAGTGGCCAGTTTGTAATGTTTATATAGTTATTCACTGTGCCTTAAATTTTTATACTTTTTATTTATGCAAACTATAAAATTTCCCACAAATGCATTAAATGGTTTTGTCTTATTTTTAAGCCTCTTTCACTTTTTCTTCCTTTTCAACCCTTTTAATAGTTACTATTCCTTCTGAATCATAGTTCATGATATTCTACCCTCTTCTTTCATCTCTTAAAAATTAAACAGTATAACTGAGAATCTTTACACTTAGTTAACAAATTCTCTAACAAAAATCCTTAACAAAATGGAGTTAAGTTTTGTAAAATGTAACCCTGGTGCTGGTTAATAAAGGTAGACAAATGTTTTTTATAACAATGATTTTAATTAAAGTAAAATACTAACTTGAATACTTTTTATTGAAACATTCTATTAAAATAAACATCATGTCCAAATACTTGCCAGAAATGAAATGGCCCTACTCTGATGAATGGGGAAGTCTGTAATCTTTGATATACATAATACTTTAGAATATTCAAGGTTAAATGATATAATTTAAACTATCTTTCAAGTATTCAAATTCTTAGTGACTAATGTCAGAACTATTCCATTAAAACTTCCTTTATTTCTAAAGATTATACAGATTCAAAGTGGACTCCTACCTTCACCAGATCACACTTGCCATATTTGAGCTAAGTGAAACCAGAATTTACTGACTCCTAATTTGGTCCCATTTCTTCCAGACCACTACAACCAAAATTCCAATAACCAGAACATTTGCTGTGTTCTATAGACATATGAAGTGTTTTATTTAGACCATTTCTAAGGATTCTGCTTCAAAGGTTTTACATGCAGCATTCAAGCTTATTTTAATGAATACAGTCTAGTCTTTGAGAGATCATGTATCATCAAGGTCTGCAGAGTTTTCATTATCATTTGCAACAAGGGCTTCTCTATTCTCGTAAGTCCAGAAGCCATTCAGATCAATTAGAATGGTGGTGACTGTGTCTCCTTGATTACTGTTGATTAAATCCTGAAGAGAGATTTTCAAAGGATCCTTTGGTTTTACCATGTCAAAGATTTCATCCTGCAAGAGAGGAAAAAAATACAATGAAATCTGATATCTGATTCACTTAATTTCTATCATACAGTGATCTAAAATTCAGGGCTGGCACTTGAGCTTATGTAAAATTTTTTGTTCCAATTTTTTCTTTTTCATTTAACAGGCAATCCACCTCTTCTCTATACGCACAAAATTTTATTGGAAGATTCCTTAGGTACAGGCATACCCTTGGAGATACTGTGAGTTCAGTTCCAGACCACCGCCATAAAGGGAATATTGCAATAAAGCTAGTCATGTGAAATTTTTGGTTTCCCAGTGCATATAAAAGTTATATTTATACTATACTGTAGTCTGTTAAGTGTGCAATAGCATTATGTCTAATAAAATATACATACCTTAATTAAAAAATACTTTATTGCTAAAAATGCTAACCACCATCTGAACCTTAAACGAGTTGTAATCTTTTTGCAGTAGTAACACCAAAGATCACAGATCACCATATAACAAATGTAATAATAATAATAATAGAATATTGTGAGAATTACCAAAATGTGACACAGAGACACCAAGTGAGCAAATGCTGTTGGGAAGATGGCACCGATAGATTTGCTTGACTAGGGTTGCCACAAACCTTCAATTTATAAGAAATGCAATGAAACAAGGTATGCCTGCATGTGTCTTACAGAGAAACTGAAGCTCAGAGTTTAAGCTGCATAGCTAATTAGCAGCAAAACTAATGCAGTGTTCTTTGAATATATGTTAACTAACTACTTATATTTTTCTGTTGTCAAGACAGTGACAAAGCTTCATTTCCAATAATGATGTCAACCTTTTACTCTGGACCTGGAATGGGTGGGGGGAGCTCGGTATTAAAGAACTAGTCATCCACAGTGACACTAAACTGTGCTAAAAATGACTGGAATATATGGAAGAACCTCTTCTATATTATGACGTGTACTATAAGATTACTTACGGGGAATTAGTACATGTTTTCTAATCTGTTTGTAGTAAAATCACTCAAGGTATTTAATAGCATTTAAAGAGGCAAATTGCATTTTTAAAGGTTAGAACAATTCAGGTAAATGAAATGCATGAACTTTTAATCTTGTGTGTATGTGAAACTTCCCTTTCCAGGTTGGTGGCAGTTTAAAATTACTAGTTCTTAAGTTGCCGGTTGCATAGTTTCAAATTTTTCTCACTTATATTAAACCAAAATAGCCCTTTATCTCATTATACTTGGTTAAAACTGGATGGGTTATTTTATTACATTACTTCACCTGAACCAATACTGGATACTCAAAGTGGTTCATAGCTGGTAAAAGTCTGATTACTAAAATGCTAAGTAGCAGCATGTATTTCAAATAGTGGTAGTTTTCATACTGTAAGATTCATGTTTCCTTAAATACCAAAGCAAGCAAGCTCTTTGAAGTAGCAGACTAAAAACGTGCCTGAACCTAAATAGCTCCCCCAAATTCAGTTTACAGTGGAATAGACTACCAAAGGATACAGGCTGTACTGATTCTCTTAGTTTTCAATCAAAATGAATGAATGCTTCCAATGAGAACATGAGACTGACAATGCTAAAATCTTATACTGCACAAATCATTAGTCCAAGTATGTTCTCAGTTTCTAATGATTTAAATATTAATTCAGAACAAATAACAGCAAATACTTGATTTGGTTCAGTATTTCATAAGTTGCTTTCAGGTAAAAACTTCATTTAATGCAAATGATTATGTGGTGTTATGTAGATTAAAGAAAAAAAGTAACCTTGACGTCTTGAAATGAAACAGGATCCTGTCCATGGATTTTCATTAGTTCTTGTATGGCCTGTATTTAGTAGAAATAAATCTTTAAATAAAAAACAAAATACGCAACATTCCCTGTCCTGTCCCATGGTCCCTTTCCAGTTCCATTTCCTATCCTTTCAGACCATAGGCTTCATCATTTTAACCGCTCTTGCCAATATTCTCAAATTCCTTGACCTTGCTTCACATCTGCTGAGGAAAACCTAAACACTGGATCAGTGTAACCATCAACCTTTCTAGACCTACACCGTAGCTATGGAGAACTTCATAAAAAAAGTATACAAGAGTACAGATTACTATTGCATAGGAATGGTCTCCAACCCCAGATGGGCCTTTAACAGGCCTAGCAATTCTGTTATGACCTGCTTCTCCAATTTTCCAGGAACGCTATTCATACCTTCACCATTCTTTAAGGCACCCAATCCACCACCTCCCCTCCCACCCTACACTTTCTCTTCTACTTGACAGAAAAAATGAAGGTAAACCTCCCTCAAACTCTTCTCTTTTATGAACTTTAACAAAAAAATACTGACTGAGAAACTACTGTGATGCAGTTGAACTAACAAATGTTTTAGGTGGGAGTCATTCACTGGAAAATGTGAAGCTTAAAATTCTTGGAAAATAATATGTTCCAAGTGCCTACTCTGTAGTGCCACTGATATCAGAATGTGCACAGGGCATCTCTTTGCAGCAGATGAGAATCTGAGTACACTCGAAGCTACCAGAGCAGGAGACCTGGATGGAATGATGTAGAGTGCACCATCTGGGCCCAGCTTTTATCACTGGGATACTGATGTACAAAGGCTCTAAGAACAGTCCAGGACTGTAGGGCTCAGCACCAGTAACTTTTTACCATAGCCCATACAACCAAGCCTAAATAAACTTTGATAAAATAAAGGTATGAAATCTTTTCAATGTATTTAATAAATAAAATTTAATATTCAAAGAGTAGAGGATACTATAAAAAATCTTTATGAAAAGGGATTGAGTATTTAGCTTCCAAAAGATATATTTACTTTGTTTTCCTAAAACTGAATTTTCATTTAATAGGTCTGCCTAAAGTGGGGGACATCCCTATGATGGGTGATATTCTCAGATGAGCCACTGATATAAGCCCACGTAGCATTCAATTTTTAAAAAATGTGTCCTAATACTGGGATTGTAATTTATCCTTATAATCTGCAGTCATTACTACCTACAAAATCATAATAGAAAGCTTTTCAGGGAATTTAACATGAAATTATGAAATATATACTCTGAAACTCAGAAATCAAAGTTATTTTAAAAGTATCAAAAATTTTTTAAGTGGAAAAGAAAAAGCCTCTGGGGGAAAACTTCTTATGACAAAGATGTGAAAATGTCATTTTTATTGTTTAAAAAAAATTTCTTCTTACTATCAATCTTAACCATATAAAAATCAGATGGGATGGTCTTCTGAAAACTAGCTATAGAAATGTGGCAATGGAATGGAACACTACTGTACAAAACCTTTCCATCAAGTAGAAAAGTCACCGTTCAAACTGAAGAATGATTTATCTTTTTTTTTTCTTTTTTTAACATCTTTATTGGAGTATAATTGCTTTACAATGGTGTGTTAGGATTTATCTTAAAAGGGAAGACATTCCTACATTTACACCTGCTGCAGCTGAATGCTTATCAGGTAAAATACAATCAAATTCCACTTCAGAGCTCATCATGCTATTCTCTGAGACCACCTACGGCACAGAATAAGTATTTCAGCAAATCTGTTTCACACTGAAATGCAGCCCACAATTCTAGCCAATTTTTAAATTTATATTTTTTACAGCATAGCAATTAAAAGAATCTACAGGTACCAGATGTGCAAAACTCCTGTGGAAAGGAGTTACCTTTTCTGTACTGTATAATTAAAGTTTCTGTAGGATTTTACATACTAGTTTTTAATCACCAAGAGCATACAATTTCTCAGGTATGTTTGTATCTCCACTGGCTAATAGCCCCTGATGTATATTTACACACTTTTTAGTATTCTACGACTAATCAAATCAGTATTGATATAGCCCATTTACGTTTTTAAAAATAGAAAAAAACAAAACTAAAACCTGACTTGATTTCCTTCTGAAATCTGTTAGGTAAACGCTTTTGTTAAATTTAAACATCCCAAGTTAGATAAAATTGTCATTGGGTAGGTAATTTAAACCAAATTGTATAACAAAGACACATTTACACAAATGAGACTTACCCTAAAGAAATAATTAAGGGAAAAGACATTCAGATATCCTTTGTTCTCAATGTCAAGCAATTTGAAAATATATTGCAGAGCTGCAGGTTCTTTTCGGTTTTCTAATGCAAGAACAAAATCCAGGTAGGTCTTATAGTCCTATAGAAAAGAAAATGACATTCATTAGAGGCCTTATTTGTAATTAACTTTTCAAGTGACTGATGATTTGAAGATGTTTGTAATCAAAGATGGCAATTTTTTTAAAAATATGAAACGAGAAATCCATACTTAATATATACTTAATGTTGGTTTCTAGGAATTCTACATAGCAGTTTATCTGTACAGGACAGTTTGAGGGGGCACAGCTCATTTTCTTATGAGAGATTTGCTGTGTTAAGCCATAATTTTCATTCATTAGGCTTTTGAAATGGACAGACAGTGACTAACCTTTGCATGTTGCCACTAAATTTGTATTTTCATTTCGGTGTGGTCATTCTGAACTAGTTTTAAACTTTAATTCAGATGATTTCCAAAAAGTCATCTTAAGAGTGCCAGAGTGGCTTCCCTGGTGGCGCAGTGGTTAAGAATCCGCCTGCCAATGCAGGGGACACGGGTTCGAGCCCTGGTGTGGGAAGATCCCACATGCTGCGGAGCAACTAGCCTGCAAGCCACAACTGCTGAAGCCCACGCGCCTAGAGCCCGTGCTCCGCAACAAGAGAAGCCACCGCAATGAGAAGCCCGTGCACCGCAACGAAGAGTAGCCCCTGCTCTCCGCAACCAGAGAAAGCCCGCACGCAGCAACGAAGACCCAACACAGCCAAAAATAAACAAATTTATTTTAAAAAAGAGTGCCAGATATTCTACAGTGATCTGACACTGTTCTCATCCAAAAAGGGGGCAAGAGAGTACAAATGAAGGCTGAAAAGACACGAACAGAACAGAAAGCTTTCTCTACGAAAAAGGGATAGTCACATTACTTTTTCTGCATGTTTAATAAAAGTAAAGTACTTGGGAGATTCTCACTTGGAAAAGTTTATAATCTTGGAAAGGATTTTCTTAGGCTAAGATTAAGAATTCTTTTCTGCATAAATCGTAGTATAAAAAACTAGAGATGCAGCCTCATCATGGTCTAAACTCCATGCCTAACTGTAGCTTCTGATTTTCTTTATTCACCAGGTTATTAGCATACTCCAAGCTCCTCACTGTTAACTGTAGGCAGCTGTGGGAGTCACGAAGCAGAGTTTTTGCACCTTTCCCTCTGCAGTTGGCTAACGATGGTGTTATTTAGAAAACTGTTATTAAAGCTAAATGATAAAACCTAAAACCCTGATTCTTTTCTGACAGTATGACCGTTTCTTAAGCATCATTGGTTTGGAAAAGTTATCAGATCCTTAACACATATTTTTAATAGCAAGAATGGTGATTTAAAAATGCTATTTAGAATTTTCTTCTCAAGTATTTTGCATTGTTGTGATAAAAGGACAGATGCATGTTAGCAAATCTTTGGCTGCTAAGGTAGCCACTTAGAGTAATACTACCTGATTCTTAGATTTAAATTAAATCATGGCATATGTGGTACTATATCTGACCTGGTAATTTAATGAATGAACCATCTATATGAAAATAGTCAATAGGGTTTACCTGGTTTTCAGATTTTTTTTTTTTACTAGTCCACACTTCTCTACAATAGGTGCACCGACAATGAAATGAACAAAAATATTAAAATTTTCTGTTTGCCCTGAGTCCATAAAGGAAGTAATGTTTTTAAGCAAATTTACCTTAAGATCAAAGGTTCTAAATCTCAAGTAATTTGATCAGTTCATACTTCTTAAGATACTGTTATACACTGATATGAAAATAATGCTGTATCATATCAAGAAAAAGGCTTTTGTGATTAAGAAAATGGACAGAGGACCTGAAGAGTCAATTCTTCTTTTTGTTTTTTTAATAAATTTATTTTATTATTTTATTTTATTTATTTATTGTTTCTAGCTGCTTTGGGTCTTTGTTGCTGCTTCGTTGCTTTTCTCTAGTTGCAGTGAGCGGGGGCTACTCTTCGTTGCAGTGTGTGGGCTTCTCATTGCAGTGGCTTCTCTTGTTGCGGAGCACGGGCTCTAGGCATACGGGCTTCAGTAGTTGTGGCACGTGGGCTCAGTAGTTGTGGCTTGAGGGCGCTAGAGCACAGGCTCAGTAGTTGTGCACAGGCTTAGTTGCTCCACAGCATGTGGGATCTTCCCGGGCCAGGGCCTGAACCCGTGTCCCCTGCATTGGCAGGCGGATTCTTAACCACTGAGCCACCAGGGAAGCCCAGGAGCCATTCTTCTGAAGAAGACATCAGATGGCCAACAGGCAGATGAAAAGATGCTCAACATCACTAATCACCAGGGAAATGCAAATCAAAACCACAATGAGATATTACCTCACACCTGTCAGAATGGCTACCATTAAAAAGATAACTAACAAGTGTTGGCAAGAATATGCAGAAAAGGGAACCCTCATGCACTGCTGGTGGGAATGCAAACTGATGCAGCCACTACGGAAAACATTATGGAGGTTCCTCAAAAAATTAAAAATATAACTACTATATGATCTAGCAATTCCATTCCTGGGTATTTATCTGAAGAAAATGGAAACACTAATTTGGAAATATACATGCACCCCAACGTTCACAGCAGCATTATTTCCATTAGCCAAGATATGGAAGCAACCTGAGTGTTCATCGACAGAAGAATGGATAAAGATGATATGGTATACATATACAATGGCATACTACTCAGCCATAAAAAATAATGAAATCTCTGCACAGGGAATATAGTCAATATTTTACAATAACTTTGGTATGTAATCTATAAAGACAGTGAATCACTATGTTGTATACATGAAACTAATATAACATTGTAAGTCAACTATATTTCAATTTTAAAAAAAAGGCTTTTGGAAATTGTGGGAGCCTAAATTTTTAAAACTTAGAGATTTAAACTACTACCATTTCTCCATCGTAAGTGAGACACTCCTGGAAAACACGGTCTAAGAAGACATTGGTCATGGTTGCTGTTCCATAGCGGGAGAGTTCTTCTTTACTGAGCATGCCATTGTGATCCTTATCAAGATTCAAATATTGGCCTTGGGGAGAAAGATGATAAAAAGACACTTATGACCAAAATAAAGTTCTAACTAAAAGACAGAAGAATAAACACTAACAGACAGTTATTTTTATTGGTTAATATTTTGATTTTTAAACTAATTATGTTACAGTCATGGTAGACATCTGCTATCCCTGCAATCTCTATCAGAACAACCGTTAAGCCAGAACCAGTCAAAGAAAACTCATCATAAAGGTCATGCCTTTATGCTATTTCACTTACATCATTACTTGTTTTCAGTTTGCAACCTTTTATAACTTTCCTAGGATTCTAAATTAGATGGAGGTAGGGGTCAACCAACATAAATCACTGAAATGCTAGCACTTGAAAGCAGAGGTCAAGGTTGCCAAAATGAGTCACAGGATCACCCAAAAGGACAATGTAACAGACTAATGAAATTCAAGAAAAAAAGCAAACTAGGCCCTAAAACACACCCCTCTGTGGACCCTGAGAGTAGCATTTTATCACAAGGCAAGATCACAGGTGATGTTCATAATAATGTTCCTGAGTCAACAATAAAAAAGTCAAACTACATTCTTTATGTTAAAGTGTTAGAAATGTACTAACTTAAATAAGAGTGACAAAAATATAAAACGCTGGTATTTAAACAAGTAAAATTTAATAATCTAGAATATAAGCTCTTAAGGAAATTAGAATACTTTGATCTTAAGGTAAATTAGGCTATGTATAAAACTGTCCTTTGAACACCAGTTAATGAAACATTAACTGAGGAACGGATAATTCAAATTATAGCATTACTATAGGAACATACCATACACCCGTAGGGCAGAAGGAGCAGAAAACCAATTTGTTTCTTGACTCTCCTTGGACAGTTCCTCATCCCTTAACTATATGAGCATAGAGACATAATTAGAAGATAGCAACTGTGAAGTGATATAATTAAGTAGTTTAAAAACATATTTACCTCCAATAAATCATCTAGGAAGCTGCATGCTAAAATATCTTGAATTTTTATCTTCCCTTTAAAGAACATAAACACAATAACTTAATTTTAAAAACAAGAGCAACTCAATTTTATAAAAGTATTATTTTAGAAGAGCAACCGCACAATTGATATTTTAAACTTCCTAGCTCTCATGCTCCAAAGTCCTTACTATGTATTTCTGTGAAAAGGGAAATCTGCAGGGAATATTTAATAAAATCTCATATAGGTATGTCTACCTATATACCCCCAACTATATACATCCAATTGAGAAATTCCAAAATTACATTGAGACCAGATTCCAAAAAAAGTTGTGTTAATTTTTTTGTGGTTATGGATATGATACTGTCAGTAGTCAAATAAGGAGACTGCTTCCAGTTTTCCTTTGCAGGTTCTGGAATAGAAAGCAGTATAGAGGCGTGGTTAAGAGAGATGGGATTTCAATGCCACTCCTAGACATGCAATCCATCTAAGTCTTAGTTGCTTCACACATAAAATGTGGGTAATAATACCTTCCTAATGGAGTTATGAGAAGAAAATGAAAGAATCTATGTAAAATGCTTAGCACAGTACTTAGTACATAATAAACAGTCAAAACTGTTGGCTATTATTATTGCGTAAATTTCCAAGGAAAAAGATGTGTGTGTGCCTATAATGGAGGCGTTTAAAAAAACTGACAGCTACCCCATTCTGTGATGGACTCACAGCTGCATTTTCAAGGACAGAAGGAGTATCAGGGGCTTTGATTTGGGCCTCTGTCCCAGACACATGTATTTAAGCCTAGCAGGTTAGAATAGTTGATAAATGTACTGTTAATGAGGCAAAATTTACAAATCTGATCCTCATATAGGATAGTTAACTTGAAAATGAGAAAAACACATCATGGCTAAATGGTCCTCCTATCTCCCAATTCATATTTTTGATCAAAAAGAATAATGCTCCAGTATATTACCTATCAGGGATAGCAAATTATATCAGAATACCTGGCTTCTTAGATCTGGAGAGAATATACTTCATTTTAGAGATGAAAACATTGTAAAAAGGTTAGGTGATATTCCCACTGTCACCCAGCTGATTATGGTTGGCACAAGTAAATCAAAAGATCTACATGTCAAAAGATTTATATATTAATGGCAATAACATGTTAGGAAAATAAATAACATTTTAAAGACTTTTCTCTAGTTATTGAGATTTAGAAGTAATGATAATCTCATAATATCTAAGTTAGATAAAATTTTCTTTTACCTGTTCTTAGAGGGTCTAAAAAGAAGAAGAACTTCCTAACTGCTGTACAAACATAAAAGGAGTAAAAAGATTTTTCCAGCCCATCTAATTGTGGCAAAGTAGGGATAAGTTCCAATATGTAGTTTTCTAAATCCTGAAAGAACAAAACAAAATAAAACTTGAAAGGGTTAAATGTCTGATCTTGTTTCTTCATGAGATACTGGAATATAATTTCAGTCCTAAAAATTATTCAGTATTAAAACTATACGAATGATGAAATAAATTCATTTGTGACTGAGTTTCAGATGTTTTTCTTGGCTTGTTGTTTTCTTTTAACTTTGTTTATGATGGTCTTTGCTCTCAGATTTTTAAAAATTTAGCTGAACTTATTGTTTTTTAGACTTCTGAGCTTTGTCATACTTAGAAAGGCTTTCCCTATTCCAAGATTATATATTTAAAAGCCTCTCATGGTTTCTTATATTTATTTTAATAATTTCATTACTTTTGCTTTATCCATTGTAAAGTATAATGCTTCTAGTTCATTTGAGACACTTTATAATTTAGTTGTAGAACAGATGGCATCTCAAACATGGTGTGTCCAAAATTGGACTCTTATTATCCCTAACCCTGGTCCTCACCCATATTCCCCTATTCCACCATTTATTCAAAGTAAAAAAGTTAAACTTGGTTCCTACCTTTTCTTCACCAAGGCCCCCACCCCTTAGCCCCCAAATCTAATCCAGCAGCAACTTTTTGTCATTGTTGGGGTGTGTGTGTCCAAAATACATACTGAATTAATCTATTACTGGCTTCTACAGACATCACCCTGGTCTGGGCCACCATCATCTCTCACCTGGACAACCAGAGTAATTTCCTAATTATTTCTTCTTTGACTCTAGGCTCTTTACAATTCATTCTCCACACATCCAGTAATTTTTTAAAATGTAAACCAGGGAGTTCACTGGTGGTCTAGTGGTTAGGAGCCCGGAACTTCACTGCCGTGGCCAGGCTTCAATCCCTGGCCGGGGAACTGAGATCCCACAAGCCACATGGCCAAAAAATAAATAAATAAAATAAAATGTAAACCATATCCTGACAGATTCAGCTTAAAAATTCTGATGGCTGGGCTTCCCTGGTGGCGTAGTGGTTGAGAGTCCGCCTGCCGATGCAGGGGACACGGGTTCGTGCCCCGGTCCGGGAAGATCCCACATGCCGTGGAGCGGCTGGGCCTGTGAGCCATGGCCGCTGAGCCTGCGCGTTCAGAGCCTGTGCTCCACAACGGGAGAGGCCACAACAGTGAGAGGCCCGCGTACCGCAAAAAAAAAAAAAAAAAAAAAAAATTCTGATGTCTTCCCATTAGTCTCAATATAAAATCCAAACTCTTTATCATGGTCTAACAACCCAATATGTGGCCCTGCCTACTTCTCCAACTTCACCTCCTGTCACTCTAACCCTCGCTCATATGCTCCAGCCACACTGGCTTCCTTCTGCTCCTAGAACAGGTCAGGTTTAACTGTGCCTTGGGGACACTGAACTTGCTGTTCCCTCTGTATTACATTTTCATAAGGCTGGCTTCTTTCTCATCCTTCATGACTAAAACTCAATCACTATCTCAAAGAGGCACCTCTTCCATCTTATCTAAAATAGTTCCCCAACCCCAGTCATACACTTTCCTAGTACCCTATTTTCTCCTTAGAACTTGTCACTCTTTGAAATCATGTTGCTGATAATTTAGTGTCTGCCTCCCCACTCTGCTAGGAAAAAAGCACCATAAGAGTAAGGCTTAGCAATGTACCTGGCACAAATAAGTGTTTGGTAATTGCTTATTTAATAAGATTTAGTAAGTGAATGAGAGTTTGCCTATACTACTCAAATTACAAATGTTGGCTCTGGAAATTACTGTCTTTTAAATAAGGGAGACACAAAATCTGGTTTCAAAAGGCAAAGTGCCAAGGTTAGGAGAGTTATTTCTTTTCTTTGAGAGAAATGTTTTCTTTCATTGAGAGAAGGGAACATTACTCCCTTTTAAACACAACTACAGAGATACACTGTTGCTTTTCTCTCTCTTCCTCCCATTCTTCTTTCAATTTTGTTTCCATTCATGGGAAGAGGCAAGAAAAGTTTGTTTTGTAAACCAACTAATGGCTGACAAGAATTCTCAGAGCTATAGAAGTACTCCAATATCTGACCTGAGTAAGTATCAACTACTGTTTAATACATCTTGCAAGAACCTTTTACTGTCAAGCTGATCTGAACCTTAAAGGACAAGAATTATACTGTGGCCCTAGAAAGGTTTTTAAGTGTAAATATCCAGTATGAGCTAACAGATTCTATCTATAGAAATCTGGATAAAACAGAGTGCAACAAATTATAACAGGAAACATAAACTATAACAGGGAATTTACATCTCTTTAAATTTTATATCTGAATATTTATTTAAGTGATTAATTAACCTGGTTCATATTTATGCATAACTCCCTTACCCCTTTGTATATATTTGGGAAAAAAAGCCTGAGCTGAAAAGAAGATATAAATTGATTGATTTCCTTATTTATTTATTTGCTTGCTTGCTTGCCACGCTGCGCAGCATGTGGGATCTTAGTTCCCCGACCAGGGATCGAACCTGGGCACCCTGTCTTGGAAGCTCGGAGTCTTAACCACTGGACCACCAGGGAAGTCTCCATATAATTGAGATACCCACACTTACAAGAATAGTTATTTGGATCATGAGGCTATAATTCTCTGTTGATAACCTGTTGATAACCAAATTAGTGCCTAATGGGAAATAAATAGCCTCTTGGTAACTGACCTTACAACCCAAACCTGCAGGTGGGACTATAGTCACATTATTTTTCTTATATTTCCTAAAAAAGGAAAAACTACTGGCCCTTACATTTTAAAACAGTCATACACTGATAACACTCATGAATAACCAAAAGTTTTTCACTGTTTCTTCAATGAATTTTAATCCAGTTAAAATATTACATTCTTTTCTTCTCCTTTAAAAGGCTTTTTTTTCTTTAAAGGTTGGAGAAAAAGAATTTAGAAAGGAATTTTTGTGACCAATATACACTTAAAAAGTTCTTTAGTAACACGTTATTTGTAAAAACAAACAAAGCAGAGAAACAAAAACAAAATAAGAATTATCTGTAATCTCAACACCCAGTGATAACTACTGTTTAGCATTTTGGTGTCTAGCATTTATTAAAGTAGGTTAATACTTACAGATTCCCGGAGATACCCTTGTCCAGCAACATCATATAAACTGAGGCCTATTCTTGTTTGATGAAGCCAAACTGACAATAAACAAGAAAACGAAATATAATTATTAAGATTTATCCTTTAGTGTATACATATATATATATATATATATATATATGCATAAAAGGAGATAGATTAGAGAGACAAGCTAATTTAATGACTCTATAAACATATTTTTCTCACATGTATTACTTATCTCATTAATCCAAAAATTGTTTGAAACAAAATAAATATACCATAGAATTAACTGCAGATATCAACAATTCTACCATGCCTAAAGTGACAGTAAAGTTGATGCCCTTGAGAATACTGGTGTTCCACCAAAACAGGAGTTCTGATATTATGCCTTTAATGAAGCAGCTTTTATTCTACTGAGGTTAATTACCACAACCAAATATTAAAGCTGGTACACACAGGACTTGACAGGTCATTATGGAACTTATAGGAATCATTAACAATTCCAACTTGTTTAATAAATACTCCTTGAGATGATGCTACAGTTGTGAGTTTGAAACTATCCTCTCAGGCAACTCAACCTGTAATATATTGGCGAAATAAAATTACCAGTGAATTAAAGTATTTCAAATAACCATCCATTAAAACTCTTGGTTCAGCTTTTTTTTTTTTTTTTAGTGTTTATTTATTTTTACTTGTTGACAGTTTTGATTTATTTATTTATTTATGGCTGTGTTGGGTCTTCGTTTCTGTGCGAGGGCTTTCTCTAGTTGTGGCAAGCAGGGGCCACTCTTCATTGCGGTGCGCGGGCGTCTCACTACCGTGGCCTCTCTTGTTGCGGAGCACAGGCTCCAGACACGCAGGCTCAGTAATTGTGGCTCACGGGCCCAGCTGCTCTGCGGCATGTGGGATCTTCCCAGACCAGGGCTCGAACCCGTGTCCCCTGCATTGGCAGGCAGATTCTCAACCACTGCACCACCAGGGAAGCCCCCTCAGCTTTTGATATATCTAGTTAGCTAGTATCTTCAAGATACATGAGGCTTTTGTTTGTTTTTTATAATAATGAACCCAAATGTATGGTAGAAACTTTCAGCTCTAGTAAGTTCCAGGAGAGAATCATAATAATAGGAAAACAAATCTTGGTCAAAAGACAAGAATTCTGTTATTCAAATTTACTAAGAGTTGTTTGACATGGAAGGGATACTATAAAAGCACTGACTGGAAACCTACTTGATTCCCAGATAGAAGGAGTTCAAGTACAATGAAAATGAAATCACCTTTTCTCATGACATAATTAAAGAACTGCATGATGGAAATTCTTCCATAAGAATCTGTATGAAGGAGTTTAGCAAAGACTTTTGCTGCGAAAAATTGCCTAAGGAAAGGAAATAAAGATTAAATCATCTGCCAATATAATATAAAAATGACTTCTGTATGATTTAGCAGACAACAGCATAAATTCAAACAATTAAAAATCAAAGTGGTGGGAAAAAAATCAAAGTGAGAACTATAGTTCAAAACTGAAAATGTTAAGCCATACATCTTTAATTCTATTGTCTTAAGAATGAGGACCTATAATGCTGTAAATAAGCTATATTATTTCTTTTAATAACTTTATACCAATGTAATTTTCTTGACTGTAAATAATTTTATTAAACTTTATTAGTTTAATGAAAAGCTGACTCAAATTATCATATTATTGACTTAAATTTTCATTAACATTTACTTGAGGCATTTAAAATGCTTAACATAACATACTCCTTTGTTAATCATATTATTCTTACTTGCACTTTGGTCCAGCTTTTTCACCAACCTTTAAAAAATTTTCATAATTAATCATTGCTTCCTCTCCAATCATGGGTGGTGTCTGGTGCTTGTCCAGCAAAAACCATAAGTTCTTAGGAGAATTGCAGAAATTAAGATGTTATAATCAACTGCACAAAATTTAAAAACGTAGTTAAATGTGTTATTTCCATTAAAATGATAGACTACTGTAGGGTCAAAATGCAAGGGTTTAAATCCCAGCCCTGCTCTGTGATCTTGGACAGTAGACTTAAAGTTTCTGTTTCAATTCTCATCTGTAAAGTAAGGATAACAGTGTCTACATCATATAGTTACACAGATTAAAGAGGAGGAACAGTATATGAAAATTTTAGAACTTAGTAAACACTCAATAAATGCTATTTTTTTTTTTTTTTTTTTGCCATGTCACATGGCATGTGGAACTTCCCTGCCCAGGGATCGAACCCACTCCCTCTACATTGGAAGCGTGGAGTCTTAACTACTGGATCACCAGGGAAGTCCAATGCTAGCTATTTTTTATCATGTTATTAGTAATCAAAAGGATAATAGGAGATGATAGTCTTCTTAATATTACTCCCTACAGTAGTGGTGCTCAACTTTGGCCACACATTAAAATCACCTATGGAGGGCTTCCCTGGTGGCGCAGTGGTTGAGAGTCTGCCTGCCAATGCAGGGGACACGGGTTTGTGCCCTGGTCCAGGAAGATCCCACATGCCGCGGAGCGGCTGGGCCCGTGAGCCATGGCTGCTGAGCCTGCGCGTCTGGAGCCTGTGCTCCGCAATGGGAGAGGCCACGACAGTGAGAGGCCCGCGTACCGCAAAAAAAAAAAAAAAATCACCTATGGACTTTAAAAAACAATACAAAACTATCCTTGGGACACACAAGCTTTGCAGCTGATTCTGGTGGGAACCATCGCTACAGAGCCTGTGCTTTCAGTCACTGCACTACTGGCTCCATTTAGGCATCCCGAGATCCCACATGACACATGTAGTACAAATAAGAAATGGTGAACCTCCAAAGCAACCTTTTATTCCATTCTTACCTGTAATTCTTCATTATCTAACAGTTCCCTGCTTTTCCTTTGCAGAAAGACGGCTCTGGATTCTTCTCTTAATTTCTGTAGTAAGACCTCATCTTCAGCTGGCAGCTAAAAATACACTGTAGAGTTAATTTCTACACTTAAATTCTAGACTATTGGGTTATGTAAAATGTATTTGGCCTCATAAAAAACTATGTATACTACTGTCTCAAAATTACTTTTTGTATCTCAAGCTTGCTTAATTTCAGGTCATCATTTATTTAAAAAGTTCATTTAATAAAAAGAGATCCACAGAGAATTCAGTGATCAGTGAAGGCAGTTCTGCCTGGAAAAGGCTAACCATCTAGCCCAAGTTTCTTTATTTAGATCCATACAGGTTTACTTAAAAATTAAACACAACATTTAGTATGTGCCCATAATATATCAGGCATCAATACACTCATTCTAATTTAATCCTACTAGCCCTGTGAGATGCATTTCATCATACTCAATTTAGAGGTGAGGAAATCAAGAGATGGATGACTTTATCAAGAACACATATGCAGTTAGCCAGTCCCAGACTAAAGATTTAAATCTTCAGAGTCCAAGTCTGTCTTAATTTCTTATGAGTTGTTTGGTTTGGTTCCCTGTACTCCTCTGTCCCCTCAATTTCACACCTAATGTTAATGACTTACTCAAAGTTGTGCAACTAAAGTAACAAAATTTGAATCCGGGTCTTCTGACATCAGGGATTTAGTGTATTTTCTCTTCTCCATCTCATTTCCATCACTGGGTAGTTAGGTACCTCTCCCAATTAAGTAGACTTTAATGTTATTTCCTAGTGACTGCTAGGAGTAAAGTACTATGACAGATGTTCAACGTAGGATAACCATCTCCAAACTAAATGTATCCGAATGTCATGCTCTTATTTTACTTTATGACCACCACTTTTTCTATTTTCTCAATGTAGCTCAAGTTTCATTTTGTATTTGTAGAGCACTGTTCCCATTGTAACCTTAGACTAATAAAGAACTAAATTAGGATTGGCTGAAGAGCGACAGTTTTAGCCAAGTATGCTTTTTGAGACTGGGTCACCTTACTTCCTAGAGATAATTAAGCCAATGTCTGCTAGTTGGCCTCCAAAGCAGAGGTTCGTCCTCCTGTGGTGATTTCCCTAAGCAGGGCTTTAAAATGACTCATTCTAACAACTTCAAACAATTTGCTTTGAGGATTTCTTCTTACTTTTCTGTAACTTTGCCCCATTAAATGTAGCTAAGTAACCCACAGTCCAAATTGGGGGCTATGGTTTTCACTTTTTATTTCTAAGAACTAAGATGCCATCCCTCCCATCAAAAGGGATGGAGAAGGAATATGCATTAGGAGGTGAGGCTGGGGCTGAGACTGGGATTGTGCTCCAGTGGTTAGTCAACCAGCTAACCAGCCAAGGAGAGAAGTGGTGACCAAAGATGACAGGTGGTTTCTCTAAAGCAGTGGAGTGGAAGTAGAGGAAGAAGAAACAAGGGAAAGAACATCCCACAAATCCACATCTGCAGACCAGAAACCATTTGGGATCTGGAAGAGGTCAGAGAAGAGATGGAAATGGGGGAAAAGGGGATTCCCTCAGAAAACACAAGGGGATGGTTGGTACTAGAAATACAGGAAAGTTGAGTCCTGGGAATGGAGTAATGTCAGCATCTGAGGGCTGTTCCTGGGTTAGTAAGATAATGCTTTCACAATCCTGATTACATGAAATAATGAATATAAAATGCTCTGAAGTACGTAGACACTCAATAAATGGCAGTCCTCTTCCCACTCACCGAGACTATAAAAAATTCTCAGTTGTCTAACTGCCTCTGATTAAGAAAGTGTGAAATGCAAAAAAGCAACAGCAACAGCAAATGTGACCCCATTTTTGTTAAACACACACACACACACATATAGAAATATGTAGAAGGATTCATGTAAAAATGTTTATTTACATCTCTGGGCAATGTTATGGGAAAATATCAACTTTACCTGTTTTTTCTCTTTTCCATGACAAACGTGGATTAGTCATATAATTCTTAAAAGTCTGGGAGACATATAGTATTACAAAAAAGTTTCCAGTAAAATGGTTCACATGTACACAAGTACAAAAAAGTTTGTACTTGAAGAAATAAGTTAAAATTATCTGGATAATCTACCTCACTCCTTGATGCAAGCAAAACAAAATATTTACTTTCTTTGCAAATAATGTTGTAATTAATTGAGTTTAGGAGGTAACAGGTTTAAGAGATATTCAGCTAAAATTCCAAAGTTAACTTTTCTATAGTAGTTACATTTCCCATAATACTAAATAGGACTTATTCTTTTCAGAAGCCTTCAATTTCAGCTGTAAATATCTTTCTTAAAGTCTTACTGTTTTATCTATAACCCTCCTCAAAGCCTTCTTTACCATTTTGGCACAAGGAAACATATAATTAAGTATAACTCTTAAAATTTGTTTTCCACTCTCAATCTATTTTTCAGTTTAGCCTTGAGCAAAACATTTTACACCTTATGAGTAAAAGACAAAGTTAAAAATTGTGATCAGCCAAGTAAATCTAAGTCTTATAGAAAGCCTGGCAACATAATCCAAAAGAATACCTACTACTAACATCCATAATAAAAATTAGGAGGAAGGAAAAAGCCTACAGTTCAAAAAAAGTGGCAAATAACAACTTTGTGTTTTTATACCTACTTATATGAAAAACCAAGATTTAATCAGGTCAAAAATAATAAGGTCAACTAGAATGAAACAATAAATGTACAAAATTTAAAATATAATCAATTTGTTTATTTATAAAATATAAGATTTTTAATCCCATTTGAAAAATTACATTTCATTTACAAACTCTGCAAGACATTTGCTTAGATACCACTTACCCTATAATAAAACCGGGGAATGGTCTTATAGAATTCATTTGTGTTTTTTCTACCTCCTTTCCATTCTGAGTAATACTTGGTAAATAAATCCATTTCTTCATCTTTTAATTCTTGTTCACTTTTTTTTTCTGGTAACAAAACACGTTAAGGAGGGGAAAGCACTTTTAAAATCAAACAATATTTTTTTCAAGACATCTATACACTATGGTCTAATTACAGTACAAAAAAGGCCTTCACAATTGTACTTAGACACTAAGCATCTATATTAACTTTCTTGAAATACCAAGAATCACTATCTTCAACGGAAACAGCCTCCTCTACATCTTCTTCCAGTTCTCAGATGCTCCCTCCGCTTATTTTTATCACTATACTTGTCTCTTTCTCAAGTCATTGCCTCTCTTATAGACCTGACATGTTCTAATTCATTCAATCAAAAGTTCTCACTGAGCACCTACTCCAAACAGAGCGCTGCACTAGACACTGGGGCTAGAGCAGCGAGAAAGCAGGCACAGCCCTTGACCTCATGGGAGTTTCAGTGTCATAGTCACTATTCCTCTACCTATCTGAAGTTCACACCTCAGGGTGCTATTACCCAACCTGCTTGCTGCTGGCAGATGGCCATCTCATTTAGCCATTCCTCCACCATGAACCATGAGACTGGTGCACAGCTTTCTTCACCTGCAATCATTATGGAAGAATAAACATTTAGGTGGGTAAAGGTGCCCCCTCAACTCTGAAGGCTTCCACCTCTACTGCACTCTGTTCACTCAGAAAGACCACAGATCTTACCTGTTCCTGTTCTGAAATCTTAAACTCTAATATACTCTCAAAAATTTTCTCTCCTTCTGGTTGTTATTCAAAACCTCACTGCACTAGCACAAAAACAGACATACACATCAATGGAACAGGATAGAAAGCCCAGAAATAAACCCATGCACCTAGGGTCAATAAATCTAGGACAAAGGAAGCAAGAATATACAATGGAGAAAAGACAGTCTCTTCCATGAGTGGTGCTGGGAAACCTGGACAGCTACACGTAAAAGAATGAAATTAGAACATTCTCTAACACCATATTCAAAAATAAACTCAAAATGGATTAAAGACCTAAATGTAAGACCACAGACTATAAAACTACTAAAAGAAAACATAGACCACTCTGACATAAATCGCAGCAGTATCTTTTTGGATTCATCTCCTAGAGTATTGGAAATAAAAACAAAAGGGACCTAATTAAACTTAAAAGCTTTTGAACAGCAAAGGAAACCATAAACAAAACGAAAAGACAACCTACACAACGGGAGAAAACATTTGCAAACAATGAGACCAACAAGGGATTAATTTCCAAAATATACAAACAGCTCATACAACTCAATACCAAAAAAAAAAAAAACCCCCAAAAACCCAACAAAACCAAACATTCCAATCAAAAAATGGGCAGAAGATTTAAATAGACATTTCTCCAAAGAAGACATCCACATGGCCAACAGGCACATGAAAAGATGCTCAATATTGCTAATCATTAGAGAAATGCAAATCAAAACTAAAATGATGTATCACCTCACTCCAGTCAGAATAGCCATCATCAAAAAGGCTACAAATAATAAATGCTGGAGAGGGTGTGGAGAAAAGGGAACCCTCTTTCACTGTTGGTGGGAATTTAAATTGATACAGCCACTATGGAGAACAGTATTGAGGTTCCTTAAAAAACTAAAAATAGAGTTACCATATGATCCTATAATGCCACTCCTGGGCATATATATGGAGAAAACTATAATTTGAAAAGATACATGCACCCCAATGTTCACTACTGGAGCACTATTAACAATAGCCAAGACATGGAAGCAACCTAGACGTCCATTGACAGATGAATTGATAAAGAAGATGTGGTATATATATATACAATGGAATATTAATCCATCGTAAGAATGAAATAATGCCATTTGCAGCAATATAGATGGACCTAGAGATTATCAAACTAAGTGAAGTCAGACAAATATATGATATCGCTTATATGCGGAATATGAAAAAAAAAGATACAAATGAACTTATTTACAAAACAGAGAGACTCAGACATAGAAAACAAGCTTATGGTTACCAAAACCTCACTGCACTTCAGCCTCATTGAGATCTTCAATTCTGTGATCTGTTTTCTCAAAAGTTTTTCCTCTTCTTGGTCTCACTTTCTTCTCAACATGCGTGTAGTTGTTCCCCGAAACTCCTGCCTGCGTTTCTGCCATATCTGCCTTGTTAATTTTTAACCTTGGACCAATTTTATAATGTTTACTAATGCTCAATGGTCCTGGAGAAAACTGTCAAATTTTGCAAATATTTGGTCCCACAAATTTATTTCACGGTTACTAATAACTCAGCCTCCCCAAACCACCAATACATATTTTATTTGCGCCTGATGTCCTCTTGGTGACTGACTGCTCCAGACTTTCACTACATTCCTCAAGCCCCCTGTGTTCACCCTCAACAGATGAGAATCCCACCCAGTTCACCAACAACTGAGTCTACTGGGCATGGATACCCACAAACATCTAAGTGGAGTGGGAGGACAGGAAGGTATCAAATCTGCATCTTACGTTCTTCCTGCCAGTTTCAGGGGAAAACGTAGCTCTTCTCTCACCCAAGGCTAACCCCTCATTGTCCCATCTCCTCCGCAAAACTCCTTCCTTTCTACCTGTTGCCACACATGATTCCTTCTTCCTCATCCACTTTCTCAAATGAAAGGCCTGTGTTGGTGATCTCTACTTTCTTACCTCTCACTATCTCTTTATGCAATCCTGCCACTCTACGGAAACTGCCAGGGCAACATGTGACCTAATTGTTTAGTTTAATGGACACACCTGTCCTTGATTTCTCTCTTAAATTTGATACTGTCCATGATTCTAAACTTTTTGTAGCTTCTATGGGACCACACTCTGTTGATTCTCCTATTTTATGGCTATTTCTTCTTTTTTCTTTTTTTATTTAACTGATCTACTTATTGTCTGTCTTTATTCCAATTTTTATTGGAGTACAGTTGATTTACAATGTTTTGTTAGTTTCTGCTGTATAGCAATGTGAATCAGTTATATATATACATATATCCACTTTTATTTTATTTATTATTATTATTTAAATAAATTTATTTATTTTGGGCCGTGTTGGGTCTTTGTTGCTGCACGTGGGCTTTCTCTAGTTGTGGCGAGCAGGGGCTACTCTTCGTTGTGGTGCGCAGGCTTCTCATTGTGGTGGCTTCTCTTGTTGCAGAGCACGGGCTCTAGGCGCACGGGCTTCAGTAGTTGTGGCACGTGGGCTCAGTAGCTGTGGCTCGCGGGCTCTAGAGCACAGGCTCTGTAGCTGTGGAGCATAGCCTTAGTTGCTCCGCGGCATGTGGGATCTTCCCGGACCAGGGCTCGAACCCGTGTCCCCCACATTGGCAGGCAGATTCTTAACCACTGCGCGACCAGGGAAGTCCCTCTTCTTTTTTCTTAATCTTCTTCCTCTATCATTTCAACTTTCATAGTTTAACCTCTAAGCCCCAAACCTATGTCACTAACCCAGACATTGCACTAAACTCACACATTCAAAACAAAACATTTTCATCCTCATGCTCCAACATACCTAGAATAACTTTCCCTATCCCTCACCTTACTACTCTTCTTCTAATTCCATATTTCCATCTCAGTAAGTGGTCCCACTATCATCCAATCACCTGAGCCCAAATCCCAAGAGTCACTTTAATTACATCATTCAACTATTCTAGGGATACACAAGTATATGTGTGAGTGGATGAGTGCATACACACATGCAGTTTTCAACAGTGTCAGGGATACTGACTCTCTCACTGAGATAAAATTGACCAAAAAAAAAAAAAAAAAAAGAAGGTGAGGAAGCTGCCTATCCAGATATCCAGGGGGAACTGCATTCCAGGAAGAAGGAACAGCCAGTGCCAACGCACGAAAATGGGAGTGTCCCTGGTGTGTGCAGGGAAGAGGGAGGCAGCCAGTGCAGTTGCAGCAGAATGAGCCAGAGGGAATAGCAGGAGATGAGGGACACCAGATAATGGGGGGGCAGGCCACTAGGCCTTTGGAAAGACCTTGGCTTTCATTCTGATGAGGGTGAGAGCCACCAGAAGGAATTAAGAGGCTAATGCAGTAATCCAGGTGACAGATGGCGGTGGCGTGGGCCAGGGTGGCTGCAATGGAGGTGGCTAGGAGTAAATTTATTCTGGATATATTTTCTTTTTAGTCCCAGGATTTGCTGACACACTGGATGTGGGTTTTGGAGAAAGAGAGCAGTCAAAGATGTCTCCAAAGGTTTTGACCTGAGTAGATGCGATTGTCGGCAACTAAGATGGGGAAAACCACGAGCAAGCAAGTTAGGAAGGAGAGTGGGAGTTCAATTTCAGACAAGATTAAGATGTTAGATCCAAGTGGCCATGTCAGGTAGACAATTATTGATAGATATATGAACCTGGAATTTGGGATGAGGTCCAGGCTAGAGGTATACATTTGGGAGACATTAGCAAATAGACATTATTTAAAATCATAAGAAGGTGAGTGTAGACAGAGAATAGACACTGACCAAGGCCTCAGCCTTGGGCCCTCAAATGTTAAGTTCTTGGGAGGAAGAGGAAGAAAAAGCAAAGACTGAGAAGGGATGACTGGTGAGGTAGTAGGAAAACTAAGAGAGTGTGTCTCCCAGAAACCAAGAGAAGAAAGTATGTGTAGGAGGAGGGAGTGACCTACTATGTTCCTGGCAGGGGCTGCTGGCTGGTCAAGTAAAATAAGGACAACTGAGCACTGGAACAATGTGAAGATCACTGACGATCATGACAAGCAGGAATCAGAGACAACGACAGATTCAACCAACAACTCTTTTAACAAGTGTTGCTATAACGAGGCATAGCTACAGGTGGAAGTTAAGAAAGTTTCTCTAAGGTGGGAGAAATACCACCATGTTCATATGCTGATGGGAGTGAATGAGAGAAAATCTCATGATGCAGGAGACAGAGGATGACTGTAGGAGTACATCCTTGAGGAGGCAAAAATGGGGTCTAGCACACTGATGAAAGAAATAGCCTTCAACAGAAGTAAAACCTATACGATTTACTTACTATTTTATCATCTCTGCCAACACTAAAGTGTAAGTTCTACAAGGACAAGGATTTCTGTTTACTGCTATAGCCTAGGTTATCCAGATAACAGACATGCGATGGAGTGGGTTCAGGAGTGAAGGGGAGGAGAAAGCACAAGTACAGGTAAATTTTCCTAGAAGTTTTCCTATAAGGGGTGCGGAGAAAAGTAGCAAAAGCTGGAGGGGGTTGTGAGATCAAATGATTTTTTTTTAAATGATGGGGGATATTACAGCATGTTTGTCAGAGCTGATGAAAATGAACCAGTAGAGAAAGAAAATTTGATGGTGTATAAAGGAGAGGATAAGGCCAGAGTGAAGTCAGTGAATAAAAGAAAGAAACGCGATCCAGCGTTGGAGTACAGGGACTGTTGGCCAGTTCACCATTTTAACAGTGAAGGCAGAGTGCACGGTTGCCTATAGTGGGTGGGGAGTGGGGGGGGGGGGGCTGACAGAAATGGTAAATGGGAACAGGTGACATTCCTCTTTGATTGCTTCTACTTTCTCAAATATATATACTAGTTCATCAGCTAAAGGTAAGGAGTAGATAGGACATACTGAGGATTAGAGGTTTGGGAGATGAGAAGGAACTGCCTTAGAGTGTAGGAGAGTGAATGTCTAGGGTAACGCGGAAGAAGTGTAAATGAATGACTGAAACACCTACTTTAGGTTAGTGGACATGAATTAGAAGTGAGGAAATTCACCAAGGTTTCGTTTTTCTCTAACTACTTTCAGCTGTCCTGGATGCAGTTGTGAAACAGTAAAGATAGTTTTAACCAGGTTGATTAACAAACGTGACGCAGAGGGAAAGAGATAAGGAAAAATGGATTATTAAGTCTAAAATGGATAAGGAGGGAAGTGAAAAGTGTGACAATAAAAAGGCGGTAGGGGTAATGGATTATAGGTTCTAATAGGATCAAAGGGTTGATGGCGCCAGGACTCTCAATTATCCCTCACAAGTCTAGGTCAGGACCATGCAAGTGCGTGGCTAAGGTAGCTTTTCATTCCCGCAAATCCCTTCCCAGCGAAGTGTGGGTCAAAACTCTCTGAGGGCTTCCCTGGTGGCGCAGTGGTTGACAGTCCGCCTGCCGATGCAGGGGTCGCGGGTTCGTGCCCCGGTCCGGGAAGATCCCACATGCCGCGGAGCGGCTAGACCCGTGAGCCATAGCCGCTCAGCCTGTGCGTCCGGAGCCTGTGCTCCGCAACCGGAGAGGCCGCGACGGTGAGAGGCCCGCGTACCGCAAAAAAAAAAAAACCCAAAAACAAAAAACCCAAAACTCTCTGGATCCCTAAACCACATCCCAGTCAGCCTCCTTTGTCAGGAGAGGTTTTACCGAAACGAAAGACACGGCTCCCAGGTGCTGCTCCTCCCCATCCATCCTCCCCCCTACCTCCCGGCGTTTAGGGCCTGGCTCTCTCTGCGGGCGGCCCCTCCCAAACTCACTGTTTGGACCGGTGTTGGGCGTCGCTATCCGCCGGCGAAGAATTTCTTTCCAGTCCATGGCTGACTCCGGCCCAGCAGTTCCCGCATTTGCTGTTTACTAACCGCTCCACCCCCTGCCAGCTCCGGCGTCAACACTGCCCAGCCCCGTAAAGGTTATGAAGGCCGCTTAATCGCCATCTTGGACGCGGGCGGAAGTCGGCTAACCCGGCCAAATCGATCACCGTAACCACTGCGGAGAATACGGCGATCACGCTAACAGCAGGGAGAGCAGACGTGAAAGAAACGGAGAGGGAGCCTCCTTAAGCTGCTTTCCAGCTTCACCACGCTGTATTTTAAAGGCGCAGAAGGAGTGAAGGGGAGGAGAAAGCACAAATACAGGTAAATTTATTTTCTGTAAATTAATTTTCATCTTGAAATATATTTTCATCTTGAAATTTATTTTCATCTTATTTCATCTTTCATCAAATTTTATTTCATCTTGGCCCTTTGGCACTTGTGCGCCACGTGATCCCGGAAGTCCTTTGGCTCTTCCGGTTCGAGGGACGAGCTTTCTAATTTCACAGTTTCTTTTCATTGTTCATGGCGGATATGTGGAAGCCCTAAAGTCTCCCTGAATGTAGTAGGCGCCTTCAGCAGCCGCTCGTGCCCCCTCCTGCCAGTAAAAGATTCAGAGTCGCCTTTTTCTTGCCGTCAGGCCGGGCGGAAGGCCTGCTTCTGGCTCAGCCAGGCCTCCGCGGCCGCGCCGTCGCGGTGCATTGTGGGCGGGGTAGTTTCCGCCGCGTTTATGGTTGTATGGTACGTGAGTGCTGCGGTGAGTGGTTGAATCAAGTAAACTTTCGTTTGTGATAGATCCGTACACAGTAGGTGGTGCCCTCGTGGACCTCCCTTCCTTACTAGTATCGCTGGCTCGGCTCAGCGCTCTGCCCCTTCCCCACTCCCATTTCCTTATTTGACGAGTTTGGCGGCCACGGCCCCTAGACTCGGGCTTTCGCCTCTGTCCTGGCTGCCGGTGGGTCTAGGGTAGGGGGCTTCCGACTTTTCGCCCCTTCTGCAGCCTGGCTCCCGTGGGATCCGGTCCCTTTTCAAGGAAAGTTGTGATCCACGTGAGTCAACTGGCTGGTCTTCTTTGTGCATTTTCCTCAGGTTCGCGGACTGGAATATAACAGGCACCAGAGGATTCCTTCTCGGTCCCCTCGTCCTGGAACTTGCGACCAAGGTTGGATGTCCCCATATCCTTGTTTAATGGAGAGAACTCAACTAAGCTTCGTTGCTGCTAGCCCCAAAAGCATTTGATTTGTCTGTGAGAAGCTGAAAATCATCTTTTAGAAAGTTGCGCTTCGATTTCCGCCCCCTACCCTCAAATCCCTTAATTATGCTGTAGAAGTTGGGGCTTTTTGAACATCTCTCTCACAATCTGGTGCTGATTTAACTGCATAATGGCTTTCTATTTCACTGGTATTCGAAGCTTTCCTAAACTTTGGAAGAGCAACCCATACCTTGGGCTAGGCCCAGGTCACTCTTTTCTCTCTCTCTTTCTCAAAGACTGTTATGGCATCAAGAACCAAGAGAAGTGGTTTTCTCTTAAAACGGTGTCTCCACAAAATACCAAAGCAATGAATCTGCTGGTTGCCAAAGCCAGATATGTCAGGAAAAAAGATGAGGGCAGTAGTAAGCAAGTTTCTGCTGATTCTCCTCACATGTTTGCAGCTGGAGCGGCTAAGAAGAGATCACAGATGAATCCTCCGAGTAAAGAGCACGTCTTGCCACCTGTGAAGAACATTTTTCAACTCCCGACAAAACCTTTGAATTCAGAGGAGTGGGATAAACTGAAGGAATATTTCAAAGAAAAGGCTAACTTTGAAAATTGGATCATTTCACAGATGATTAAATGCCGTAGCTCTGTCGATGTGGCCAAATCTGTGCTGGCCTGGGTAGCTGCAAAAAACAATGGTATTGTAGGCTATGATTTGCTGGTCAAGTATTTGTATCTCTGCGTTTTTCATAAGCAGACATCAGAAATTATTGATGTCTATGAAATCATGAAAGACAGATACAAGCGTTTAGAATCTGGAGCGTACACTCTTCTCATCCGGGGATTAATCCATACAGACAGATGGAGAGAGGCCTTGCTGCTGTTAGAAGACATCAAAAAAGTCATGATTCCTTCAAAAAAGAACTATGATGACTGTATCCAGGGAGCCCTCTTTCATCAAGATGTAAATATAGCTTGGAATTTGTATCAGGAGTTGTTAGGTCATGATATTGTTCCTATGTTGGAAACATTAAAAGCCTTCTTTGATTTTGGAAAAGACATGAAAGGTGATCAGTATTCAAACAAACTGCAAGACATTCTTTTGTATCTAAGAAATAATCAGCTGTATCCTGGGAAGTCATTTGCACACAGTATAAAAACATGGTTTGAAAGGTAATTTTGATTTTTGTTTATATGTATATTTTTATTTTGATACCGTTGCCTAAAACTAGCCTCCTCTTTTTTTTTATTAGTTGCTGAGAATTACTCTAGTCAGATTATATTTTCTTCTGTCTCTTAGTAAGATTGTTTCCCCTTTAAGACAAAGTTTTCTTTCCCTTTAAAAAAGTAGCAGCGTAAATAAGTTGTGCTAATCTCTACTCATCACATAAAAGGGAAATTATAGAACACTTGTTTTTATGTTTTTTTTCCTTTTAGAAGGATCATTTGTTTTCTGAGGTGTCTAGTATGATGTGAATATTTTCAAATAGCACTTGTGGCTGGAGTTCATAGCAAGAAAACTGGAGCTGTCTTTGGGTCATATTAGTATTTTCAGAAGTTCTTCTGAAACCTAGTGACTAGTATGATGTGCACATATATATTCTGTTTAATCTATGCATTTCACCAGCTTGAATAGTTAGAGGGGAGAGAGGAATCCTGCTCAAACCTGATATGTGTTAAAGAAGAAAATCTTTATCCTTCCTGTTTTTGATCATACCATCATTTGAGTGCTCTCTCCAAGGCTGTCCTTTGCTTTCCCTTTGCTTTTATTCATGTTACTGGCTGTGTGCGGGCTGATTTATTGCTTCAGTCTTTTGTTCTCTTATTTCTTTACCACTAATTGGCTTTAGGCTCTTTCCTACAGATTCATTCCTTTTGTCTCTATTTTTCTCTTGCTTTTCTACTATATATTATCTTTACAGAGCTTTGAAGTAGCAATCATGCTTAATTATCTTTCTTAACACATTTATTGAATATCCACAGAGGAGCTAAGTTGTGAAAATCTTGGAATGGGAAGGATTTTGGATTTTAATGTTATCAAGAGTGCTGGTCTTGGAGTACTTTTTAAAAAGTAACTGCCAAACAGTGAGAAAATAAGATTAGAGAGGAATTAAGATTTGAAACAGGGAGATCTGTTTGGAGGCAATTGTAGGTTTGAATGAGGGATGATGAGATCTTGAATTAAGAACTGGGAAAGGAGAGAAGTCAGTAGAATCAATAGGAATGGATGGTATTATCTGTAAGAGGAAAGAAGAAAGGATAAGTTGATTGAGCAAATAAACCAATAAGTAGTTTTGAATGCCTCCAATTTTAGGCTTAGCACTGTGCATGATCCGTGATGTAAGATCTATTATAATGGCATTCACGACCTAATTGGGAATACAATAGTAGACAGTTATCTCAGAGTGGTGTATAAAATGATAGTGTAAGAGAAGAAATTACTCTGGGCCAGGAACAATCTCTGGCAGCTTTATGGAGAAAGTTAGAGTAAAATTTTTTTTTTTTGTCTGGGCAGTGCGTCATGCGGGATCAGGACCCATGCCCCCTGCATTGGGAGGGCAGAGTCTTAACCTCTGGACCGCCAGGGAAGTCCCTAGAGTTGAGTTTTGATTTAGAGGTCTGGGCTGCTTTCTGGGCAGGTCCTGTGAAGACAGATTTCGAGTTAAAGATGAGGGTCAGATGACGAGAGAAGCAAAGGGAAGGAGATCCAGAGTAGAGTACCATCAGTTACTTAGCCCCATCACAGTATTAGCAACCACTATTCTAATTGAACCATTCTAGGGAAGTATCCAGAACTTCTCAGAGCTCTTTCCTACGGATTTTTTAAATACAGTGAATATCTTTCTGTTCAGTAGGGATTTGACCCTCTGGTGATTTGGTTTTGCAATCTTTTTTGTAGTGTTCCTGGAGAACATTGGAAAGGACAGTTCACCACAGTCCAGCAAAGGTAAAAGCCAATATTTTATTTTTAATTTGTTCGATTCAGATTTAGTAGGTTGTTGTTACTTATTTTTAAAAATTTTAAGAATACCTTAGAAACAGGATAATTAAGTTAGTTAGGATAGCCAAGAAAAAAGTCACAGTTTTGCATTTGGAGAATTTGTAGTGCTCAAAATGTTTCTTTCAGTAGGTGCTGTGAGCCTGGTGTGACGCCTCAGAAATGTTTTTCCCTAGAGATTTGGGACCCAGTTGTGTTTTAGGAATGACTTTAAAAACTATGTCTGGGTGCCAGCCATCTACTCTTTTGGGTTTTCTGGCACACTATTTTGTTACATTATCTGGATTACAAAAAGTGAGATGTGTATGATGATCGCAAAGGTTATAATGTTCTTTTTTTAAACTACCTTCCAATTTCCTCATGTCCTAGAATTATTCATTGTAGAAAAAGTTCTTTTCCAGGACATTATTTAACACATTTAATTGTAATTACAGTGGTCAGTGTTTGGGCTGTGGAAAAACTATAGAGTCTATTCACCTGAGTTCAGAAGAGTATGAATTTCTCAAGGAAAAAATAATGAGGGATGTGATAGATGGAGGTGACCAGTACAGAAAGACGACACCTCAGGTGAGTCTGGAACAGGTCTTGTTGATTCCTGGGTTGCTTGTCTTGAGCAGGGGTCAACAATTTTTTTCTGTAAAAGGCCAGATAATAAGTATTTTAGACTTTGTGGGACATAACGTCTCTGTTGCAGCTTTTCTACTCTGCTGTTGTAGTGAAAACAGCCACAGAAAATACATAAATGAATACAGTAATACTATTCATGAAAATAAGTTGTGGGCTGGATTTGGCACACTGGCCGTAGTTGCCAACCTTTAGGAGAGATTGCTTTCGACTTTCATAGAATAATTGGGTTAGACTGTCATCCATCTATTGAAGTCAGTCCTATTTCATCTGCGCACAAGT